CAATTCACTTTTCAAGAAACACGTAGAAAAAGCATAGGATATATAACCAAATTATGCGATGTCTCATTAAGTTGACAAAGTTAGGCTATAAGAAGTGGTCAGGATTGCAGTCGGGCACCTTTCTTGTGCTTTGAGCTTGGTGAATTATCGTAAATCATGGTGTCCTGCTCTAACGTTGTCGGTCACGTGACGGACGAAAGGGTAACAAGGATTCATTGGGGTCACGGAAGGGTTAGCTAAAACCTTATTGGCACAAATCTTCAGTAACAGCTCCAAGGCATCATCCATTCGACTTCAGGTGAGACCAACTTACGAATACCTTCCACTATCCTCTTAAACGAAATGAAAAGCACTCCAGCATCAATTTATTAAGGTATTCTTCGAAAACTCGTTTTTCTACACATTCGCGCTGTTTTGTACCCAAACTAATTTATTCAGACGAGGACTGGTTAAATCAGACTCTCTAATTTATGAATGTAGTTTATGTGGCACTGATGATGCACTTCTCATTCCGTCATGCAGAGAAATACATCCTATGTTCACATATTGTTTTCTCAGGAATATAATACAAATGTTAAAATTCTGGTGAGCCAATTTGAGAAGTATAGCAGAAAGTAACTTAAGGAAGAAATTATGTCTAAATTATTCTTCAGAAAGACTAAGTCAATACTGGGTGTAACTGAGACAGAAAGTTACCGACATGATCACTCTATTTCTCATACGGATAGTATGCTTATAAAACTATTTTAATAGCTAATATTAAAGTTTCCAAGATATTAGGACAGTTTTCTATAAAACCTAAAGGCCCTAATCAATGAAGTCACACTTTAGGGATGGGAGAGATGGCATGACCCTTGGGAAACACGTTGTGATAATCGCAACTAATCAATGCCTTAGGCACATCTATTAAGCCTACTAATATCTACTTACTAGTAAAAAATGAAGTTCTCGAGATATTCCAGTGAAAGAGAAAAATTTCGTGAACTTTTAATTAACCAATGGATAAAGCAGTTCCCCTTAGTATAGTATACCTACTTGGTATGCATACTATATCCGCACTTAAAGTTGGAAGATTCCTCACGTTTGTACCCTAGTCATGGTGATCTTCCCCTTGTCAACAGGACCAGCAGTTCTTCTATATTGTAGTTGGTTAAGGTCCCTTGCACTAGTGATACCGATAATACAATTTGCCAACGATTACAGGCTTTAAAGTGAAGCGAACCTAAGGTTAGCATTCAAGATGGAATTGCTAAAAATATTTAAGTGACTACCAAATTCTGCTAGAAACCACAAACTTGGCGTGTTATATAATTTTAGCTTGTAGTTCATATGTGAACAGTCTAAAAGTGTGTGCGCGCTTTTTTAGAAGCATATTTAAGTACTAGAATATATAATAGAGAAGCAATTTTGAGTGAAAAGCCTAAATCCACTCGTAGACAGGTCCGTCTTGATGCGTGGGGAAGGCATCACATCATAGAATATCAGAGTATGCACTCTACAAGTTAAATGAAATCAGATTATAAAGAAAATTAATTTTGTCATTGTTTTAGTGACGTCTAGCAAGTTCTAGTTGAGAATAACCCATTTATGCATAATGACATTATGATAATGTGGCGATGTTTAGAAGTCACTTTGACCTTTTAAAGGGAATATTTACTCCTAATTTTTTCTCTAGGTTTCATTACCTTGACAAGATTGAGCACATTTTACTAATCCTAGGGACCAGATGATTGCCCATATCTCAGTAAAGTAAATAGGAACTTGATAACTGAGTTTTGAAGGACTCTAGCCTTAAAGCTACTGGTATGCCTAAACATTAAGGCCAAATCTCTAAGGCCTTATTTCGGATGCCTGCATGCTCAGTAAAGAGCCACGGATTCTTCGCTTTGCCCAAGGGTGAACACCAATGCACATTTTAGTCAACTGTGCCGGAATAATTTTTTTGAATGTAATTGTGCCACAACTATATATAAGCTTACCATTTCCCCTTAGACATAAGGGATCCTTATTACGATTGTATGATGTGAAAGCAAGGTCCAAGACCATTACGAATACAAAAACCATGTTCACTCCTTAATCTTAATGGCACATGCGCACACACTAGAACAATAATGAGTCGCTCTATACATTTTTACTTCAACGCGGTGTTTCCAACTACATGTTGGCATGACTGACGAAATGCCCTAGACTGGGTTCGTCTGGGTTAGGGTCACCTTGGAGTTCCTGTCTCGGCGTTAGAGCAGATATTCCATCTGCAGTTGCTCTGCCACCTTCTAGCTTCCCTGATTGGTTTCCACTTGGAGCAAACATCATTCGCACTGACCGCTCTAGACCTTCCGTCGTCTCGGTTGTCTCAACTCCTTGCTCAACTGTAATGGTTGACCGGCTGTCTGGTGATGGCTGCTGAGGCTGAGGTGAAGCCAATTTAGGAATAAGTTCGGGACCAGCAGCCGGTAAAGTTTTGACCATCTCCACGCTGGTGGCAGCTGCAAACGGCTTTCGGTCATCAAAGTTCGTCGATTGACTCTTCCTGTCCACGCAGTCATTCAATGACAGAACCACTTTACGAGAAGAGGAATCAAGTCCTGTATCGCAAGGAAGGCGCTTGTCCGAGACACGTAGGTCCCAGGCAGTCGGATCAGGACAAGCTGCATCGGACTGGCTTGAGTTGAAAATAAGATTTGGGGAGGGGGGTGAATTCCAGGTCGGCATGGTGATTGGACGCTTGCGACATTCTCCTTGGCCACCCATCAAGTCATGGACGCCGGGGCTTGACAAGGGCGAAAAGATTATTATCAATACAGTACATAGGACTTTCGTATGATTTTGCAGGCCTGAATAATAAAATAGTTCATGAAAAAAGGTATAGATTAGATAATTTTAATAAGAATTAAACCGTGAAGCGCCTCTTCAGAATACGTGTCAAAGCCCTTCCTAAATATCCTCACAACGACAATTGGAATTAAGGCTGTGCATTTTCTTGTCCAAATGCAAACATGTTGCTCCATATATTGGAAGGTGATAAAGGACTGGTAGTTGTATCTTCCCAAAATTATATTAGTATGCCTTACGCTTCAAATAAATTTCGCATAGCCTTTCTTCCCTAAAGGTATTCCCACCCAAGCACGAGTCGACTGCAATTTCGACCTCGTCTCGTCATCACCAGCACCCCCAACGAGACTCAAATCATGACAGTGACACGTTAATCCCTGCGTAACAGTGTTACGAGTACTTTGGGGTCAAAGGGCAGATTCGAATTTGAAGGAATGTCAGGCATTTTTCCATATGACATTCTATAGTGGGGCTTTTATATTGAGCAACGTTGTGCTTTTTATAGCAGCAATCTACTATGTTACTTATTTTTCTTTTAATAAGTAGGTATTCGAAGCTTGGAAAATTTAACTACCATTACTTTATCATCTTACACTAAATAGGGTGAATATAGATCTTAGGTTGTTTCCTAGACTGGAATGCCCAAGCAATGTTGAGTTGCGTGGATACTGAGAGGAAAACATGAGTGTTTGAGTAAACTCTGAACTTAACTGAAGTGCTTTAAACAATGAGATATTAAAATTTTTACCACATTTAAATCTATGCTTTGGTAAGTAGAAACGTATCTTATAATTTGATCTATATTTTCAACAATTTTCCTCACACGTTTCACATTTTGCTCTGCCTAGCCAGCCATGGTGTGTTTAGATTGTGGAAATTTTTTGATCAAGTCAAATATGCCTAAATTTGAAACTTTACGATAAATAGTAATAACAAGATTCATTTTAAGTTGGCATCGTTGTAACCTATTAAGCGGTCGATTTTTGAAGATTTATCTTTTAGCGTTCATTTGTCTTCCATGCTTCAGGTTTAGCCCAAAATAACGACAAGTGTAGATTATTTATTCACATGCCTCCCTATAACTGAACCATGCATAATCTTCTTGGCTGGAAACGAGCATATGGATTCATATTTTTAAGGGTTGACACATTAGATCTAATGCAGCCCCATTGGATAATACGAGGTTGAAGCCCGCAATATACTTCTCTTCATATAAGCGAAGCTTTAGAGCGTGTACTTTTGCCCGGAGATGAGATGAAGGCGGTGATTCGCATGATTCGTCACAAGGTCTCAGGATTGCGCTTTAAAGTCCTGGTCATAGTTAGAAGTGTTTAGTAACAGTTTACCCTGTCTTCTAATGAAAGTTAAATCGGACGAGTTGAGATATTTTTGGTGAGAATTCACATTACATCCAGGTTCATTATCAGTTGCAAGTTCCTAGGTTTGCAAGCTTTGAAACTACATGCGGGAAAGAAGTTGATTGACCTCGTTGTCGCAATTTCGTCTTGTTGTCAGGGCGATTTAGTGAAACGCATCTTGTCCGAAGTCCTCTGCCATACTAGTTGTCATAATTCCCAACATCAGATAATGGAGTTGGTACATTCTCAGACGTTTCGCCGGCATCGTAGTCGGCATCGTAAGTAGGTTCTGTTATTCTCCTAATCAACTTGACAATAAGGACAACCTATTTAACATTCAACATGACCATCTATGAACAAATATTTAAACTTCCCATGGTATCGCCGCTCTCAGCACTTTTGGCAAAAATATGAACAAAATAAAAGAGAACTTTAAGATGTCACCTCTGCAACCAGCAGTGCTCATGCAGCACTCGGCGACCGGGAATAAGTGTCCACAATTTGCTGAGATAACACAGGTTTAATCAAGGAGACGATTATGGGAATCAGAATCTAGGCGCTCTACCTGGTGAGGCGGCAGCGTACGTGCTACTAGGGCCTTGAGCATAAGCTCCTGGAATAAGAAGCACACTGGGATGGAACCGAGTGAAATCAGTCAACCAGAAAGAAAAAAAATGGATCCAAGAAACAATGAGAGAGATTCGGATAGGAGGCCCGAGTCGGATTAGTCGATCAAAGGAAAGGGGCCGGGGTGAATAGCAGGTGTGATGATGCCACACTAAATTTGCCATAAAAGGACACATTTTAACGAGTGGAATATAAACAGGTCAGAGGTTGTGATAGGGCAGGAGTTGGATAAGAGGGTAAAGAGTGGATAGATAGGCCAGGGTAGAAAGATGAGTGATGGTGTTACCATTTTCGGCAGAACGTTTGTCGAGGGGGTGACTTCACTTGTCTCTTTGTTGAGTCTGTAGATTGGTGCGGAGAATGGCAGCTCTCACTACGATGCCGGCGAAATGTCTGAGAATGTACCAAGTCCACTGTCTGATGCTGTGAATTAGGATAACTACCATGGCAGAGGACTTCGGCCAAGGGCATTCTACTAGGTCGTCCTGACAACAAGACCAAGTTGCGACAACAAGGTCAACTCACTTCTATAAATCGAAAGGAGACTGCGACCATACCGGAGGCCACACCATCTTGGTCTTCTTATATTACATGCGGGATATTTGACACTTATTTGCACGAAATTACAAGATTAAACAGAATCTGATTTCCTACATTTTATGCATTGCTCATCTGGCCCATATATTGTATTAACTCAGGCCGACCAATTAGCCTCAAAATAAATATAACATTCGATGGATTAAGAGAACCTTTAGAAAGTAGCAGGGAACGATTTCGAAGTAGATAATAAGACCAAGATGGTGTGGCCTTAGGCTTGGTTACAATCTCTTTTAGCTTTATAGTGCTAGCTCGACTTTGTTTGCGCAAATTGTTCGCAGCGTCAGGAAGACCTTGTGGAATTTACCTAGTCCCGCATCCTCTGTCATAGCATTAGTGATTTATAGCATTGGACCATAGACTTAAGACATTTCCAGACGACAAGCGATTCCTGTTATTTTGCGGCAGTTTGGTTTTACTACGACGTTCAGGTTATTGCAGTCTACGAGACTTCGTCAGGCTTTTTTTACTAAGCATGTGTCGGGCAGTATTTTTATTATAGAATAAAAATAAGGCTGCTGCCTCTCTTTCGAGATAATATGGCAGCATATGCAGTAGTAATAATAAGATAGTAATAATGATATAAATAACAAAAACAATATAATTAATAATAAAAGATAAGCATATTCAAGTATAAGTACTCTGATTAATATGAAAGAAAAGGCGTCTATATATTTTCTTTTTACTTATGAGTATATATAGCATGTAGGATGAGGTCGGATTGTCTTGTTGACTTAGTGTTAACTTAAAGCTGTTGCAACAGTTAGTTTCATCTCTGACAATTTATCTCATACGAGGGACGAAAGCTCAGCCCATTTTCATTCGAAACCAAGGATGATGTTTGGTCGACTGCGACAAGCTGAACATCG